ATTAATCCGTTCCGGCATCTGCGGACCATGCATCAGGGGCGGAAAAACGGCCGCTGACCATGCGGCAGGGCAGAAAAAATGGCCGCGGACCACGTGAACTGGGCGGAAAATGGCCGCGGACCACGTGAACTGGGCGGAAAATGGCCGCGGACCACGTGAACTGGGCGGAAAATGGCCGCGGACCACGTGAACTGGGCGGAAAATGGCCGCGGACCACGTGAACTGGGCGGAAAATGGCCGCGGACCACGTGAACTGGGCGGAAAATGGCCGCGGACCACGTGAACTGGGCGGAAAATGGCCGCGGACCACGTGAACTGGGCGGAAAATGGCCGCGGACCACGTGAACTGGGCGGAAAATGGCCGCGGACCACGTGAACTGGGCGGAAAATGGCCGCGGACCACGTGAACTGGGCGGAAAATGGCCGCGGACCACGTGAACTGGGCGGAAAATGGCCGCGGACCACGTGAACTGGGCGGAAAATGGCCGCGGACCACGTGTCAGGGGCGGAAAAACGGCCGCTGACCATGCGGCAGGGCAGAAAAAATGGCCGCGGACCACGTGTCAGGGGCGGAAAAATGGCCGCGGACCACGTGAAATGGGCGGAAAATGGCCGCGGACCACGTGGAACGGGCGGAAAATGGCCACGGACCACGTGGCATGGGCGGGAAAATGGCCGCGGACCACGTGGAACGGGCGGAAAATGGCCACGGACCACGTGGCATGGGCGGGAAAATGGCCGCGGACCACGTGGAACGGGCGGAAAATGGCCACGGACCACGTGGCATGGGCGGGAAAATGGCCGCGGACCACGTGGAACGGGCGGAAAATGGCCACGGACCACGTGGCATGGGCGGGAAAATGGCCGCGGACCACGTGGAACGGGCGGAAAATGGCTCGTAAGTCGCGGCGAATTCGTAAGTAGAGGTAAATTTTTGGGGCCGGAGCTGATCGTATCTTGAAAATTTCATAAGTAGGGGTGTTCGTAAGTAGAGGTACCACTGTATATCTATACATTGTGAATACTGTACCTCCATTTAAAAGGAAACACAGACTGTCTTCTTCAAGTAAGGCAGAGAAAGCAAAGGACAGGGAGTACTAGGCATTTGTGTTTCCCACTTCCTTCTAAATACTGCACCACATCTATCTCATATCTTAAACTACCCTACTTTAAAGATACAGCAGCAGAAAATACATGTTGGTGCTTGCTCATATTATCATGAAATCAGCTCACTGTAATGAAAAAAAAAAATCTGTATGCTTGTAAGAGCTATGTATGACCTAGACTTTCAGTAGCTGAATTTTTTCTTAATATGTAATACAGAGATAGAAAAACACCTTATCTGTTGTGTTTCATTTTAAACATCATGTTGGCATTATAACTGTATGAGCCCTGTCAGAAAAAAAGATACACCACTTGCAATGCTAGGATTGCATGCAGCCAGTTGATTTCTTTTTTTTACCCCATCTGGAGTTCTCTGTAATTGTGATGTCAACATTTGGTGGTGTGGTTTCTTGCCATTTTGAGTTAGGAAACAGATTAAAACTGTAGCATAGGCCTTAAAATAGATTGGAGACAATTTTAAAAAATGAAACACTCAAGTATGCCCTCAAAATTCTAAAAATAAAATAAATAAAATTTCCCTCATTTCCATCTCCACCTTGCCTGTTGCGATCTTGAATGCCTCCTCTTTGAAAAGTTAAATGATCAAAAGGTTGCCCATCCTCAGTCTTGTATTACGGCACAAAGGAGTTGAAAAATATGCTTCAATGGCCTTTGCATGGTTATTTCACAGAGAGCTGGAAATGACTGCCCAGTCCCTCAAAGGGGTAGAAGAAGAAAAGAAAGGACTACGAAGTCTGACAGAAACATTACAGAAGACATTGGAAGTAGGTGTTTGGCTTTTCTCCTGATGGCAGCCTTCAACACCTAGTAAATGGCCTCCTTATAAATAACTAAATGATTGAATAAAAGCTGTAAAGAAATGTTGAGGTGCCAGGCGCAGCTTTTTCAGGATTCTAATCAGCCGTGCCCTCTTTCATTTCATCTCCCCATCCCAAATGAGAGCACCAGCATTCTGGACCCACTGAGCATCCTTGTTAGGCAATCTTATGTGATCTCACCCCTTCATGCACACATACTTTTAAGGATTCCTTCCTTCCTTCCTTCCTTCCTTCCTTCCTTCCTTCCTTCCTTCCTTCCTTCCTCCCTCCCTCCCTTCCTTTCTTTCCTCCCTCCCTCCCTCCCTCCCATTCACCCATCTTGTCATACTTCTGTAACCTTATGCTTTTTCCCAGTCTACTCTTTTGCATAAATGGTGCTCCTTTGGCTACATAGGCATTGGCACCTAAAGAAATAGTTTATACAGTATGAGCTCCTACCTTCTAGAAATATTGGGCTTGTTCAGTGAAATAGGCATCTTGGGATTTCGTCTCACGTTTGCTTTTTATGTGTTCAGTGCCTTGCTGTTTTTGGTTTCTAAGCTAAAGGGGAGGGTAACAAAGGATGCTGCTCATTAATATAAATTCTCCATTTCCTCCTCTTCATGGGAAATGAACCATCTCAAAGACAAACTAATGCTTAGTTAAAATGAGGAAGTGGCTTCCTGTAGCTGTCTGGGAATGTTCTGTTGGTGATGGTTAGGGATTTCATTGTCATTGTCTTTTTACTATCAGGGATATATGTAGATCTTTGGAGATTTTTTTGCCTGAGGTATGAAGATCATTTGGCTTGGTTTAGTAAATAAGCTGCCCCTGGCTATTCACTTCAGATTATCACATATATTAAGCCAGGCTTGCCCAGCCTGTTTTCCCTGATTCTTCATGTGTGCCTGTGGCAGAAGTATACAATGTAAGATGTCTCCTTCATTCGTGTCGTGTCTGGAATTTAATGTGAAATGATCCTTTCTTGGGGGTAGGAACCCTGGCTTTCTTCTGTCTTGCAGGTTTTCTCACAAAATTATTGCTTATTTTGTGTTCACGAATATGATAGATTTTCTGTCTAATCTCACAATTTGGTATCTGCTGTTGGTATGGCATCTGTGTATTTAACTTTGCGTGACAGATAGAAAAGTCCCCATCTCATACCAGTATAAATGTATCATTCTAGATAAAAAAATTAATCTAAGTTTCTGCTTGATAAATGTTGTATTAAAGCATGGACATCTTGCTAAGTCAGTAATGACAAGCATACTTTTGATCCTACAACTCTGTTGATGGAGAGCTTGCCTGAAGTGTTTTTTTCAAGGGTAGCCAAACTAAAAGTCAGCCATGGGAAGGGGAAAAGGAAGAAGCCCTGCCCACTACTTAACTTGTCTGGGTTGGCTCCAAGGAACTCTCCCTAGAAAAACAGAGCATGCTGGAGAGGCTGGAAGAAGATGGAAGTCACTTGCAGGCCCAGAACAGTCCTTCGGAACAACCTAGTGCTGCTGGGGACCTGCAGAGCAGTCTTCACCAGATCGAGGAGAAAATGCACGAGCTGCTCAAGGAGAAACTCCTAGCAGAGAAAAGGTGAGATGGGGAGAGACTTCCAAATAAAAAATATTGCCTTGCCTGACTATTACAACTTGGGGAGCTGACTTTTCACATTTAGAATGAAAGTAGAGACTCCACAGCCCTGGCTCATTCCTTCCTCTGGCCTTCCTTCCTCTGGCCTTCCTATGGTTGTTGTTTTTATTCTTTTACAAAAAGCAGGAACGACAAGTGGAATTTGCAAGAAGAATCCTTTGTTCCCCATTGGAGAAGAAAGTCAACCTGGGTGTTGCAGTCTGGCAGCCCCACAAACTAAAGGCAGGAAGAAGAGAAATGAGAGGAGAGCATCCCTGAATGTTTTTTTCCTGTGCTGCTTCACAGAATGAAGGAGAATGAGGAACGCTCCCGAGCTCTGGAAGAAGAGAGGGAGTTCTATTCCTCCCAGTCACAGGCCTTACAGAATTCCCTATCTGAGCTGACAGCCGAGAAGCAGAAGACTGAGAGAGACCTCAAGGTATGGTAATATGGTTTCTATTATGGTAGAGGTGGTCCTTAGGCCTAAAGTTGCCTCACTCCCTTTTTCAATTTCCAGAACTCCTTATGACTTCATTATGAATTCTAGTGTCCACATGAAACAGGCTTAATGAAGATGAACAGTAACCCCACCACCCTACTGCTTAGCACATTAAAAAAAAAGGGGGGGGGGGAGAAGACCCTGAATATGCAAGACCTGGTCCTACCAGTTTTCCAGTTCATCCTTTCATTGAGCTCTTTGTCTCACCAAAACAATTTCAATGTGTCCCCTAGACAACAAAAGGTGGCCCAATCTGTATTATAGGGTCAGCCAACAGTCTCATCTCCCCTTCTTCTACTGCTGAATGACAGAAAATAAAATGATAACATCAAAAGAAGGGAACTGAAGCAACCTAGGGCAGCGTAGCAATTGTTACAAAGGAGATCCATCCTCACTCAAAGTTGTCACATATTTTAAGATGTGTAATTGCTAGTAGAAAGGTAAAAAGTAATGTGTGGTCTGTGTCAGGAATGAATGTTTGAGAAAAGAAAGGAAATAACTGTGTATAAGAGTATGCTTCTGCCCACTTGGTTATATAGAAGTCAGAGATGAGTATGTCAGGAGACACACACACGTTGTATGCACTGGGAATGGGGTATTTAAGAAATGTGAAAGGTAAAACTAGAAGAGATCAGTCAAGAGCAATGTCTTATGAATTGAATACAAAAGTGAATAACAAAAGAAGTACATTGAATTGATTTGGTCATATAGGGAGAATGAATGAGGATTGAATTGCAAAAGAGATATATGAAGGAAGAGTGAATAGGTCAAGAGGAACTAGAAGATCAAGAAAGTTGAAATGGGGTGGAGTTGATGAGATCCTCAAAAAGAGAGGTGAGAAGTTTCAAAAACAAATGGCAATGTATGCAACAATGTAAGCATGTGGTAGAAGTAAGGATGATTTGCAAAGCTAGAAAGCTATGGAAATATATAGTGAATGGTTTTGGTGTGAACTAGATTTAGCAATGTTTTCTTTTTCTCTTTCCTTTGAATTTTTGTTGTCCTCTTCTTACTTTTTACTCCTTCTCTATCTTCTGCATAATGTTGCTTCCCCTAAAAGGGAATAGCATGAAAGGTATGTATTGGCTCTTCAATATTTTCCACTGACTTTAATATTGGAGATGTTATTTCAACACAATCAAATGTCATTTGAGCAATCCCAACCAGAAAACTCAACAGTTAAGAATGTGTATGTTCAACTCTGCAGTTTTTCCCTCAGGGAACAACCCCTTACCCCATCTTATTTGGTGCAATGTTTCAATGGGTTAGGCTAACACCATTTCAAAATATTTTTCATATTTGATTTTTACTTGTCATTTAGGAGTGAGAGGCTACAAACATGCCTCTAGGAGAGGACAGCCCATACTCAAACATGAAAGAAAGGAATACATTTCTTGCGTCTGTTTGCAATCTGCTTTTGTATTTCTTTTTCTGGATTTTTGGGGGGACTGCCTCCTTTCCTTACGGCTCAGGCAGAAGTGAAGGTGCGCATGGATCTGGAGAGACGCTTGCAGGAGGCTGAAGAGGCCCTGCAGAGCCTTGAACAAGGCTTGAACTGCAAGCATCGCAACAAAGAGAAGGAGGAAAAAATGAAAGCAGATGTCAGCAATCTGAAAAGTAAGTGGACCTTCCCCACTGCTGCTAAGTAGTCTCTACAATGAAGTTTCCACCTCAAAAGAAGTATCACCTTGGAGATGCCTCCAGCTGGAAGTATCAGCCAGTGAGCCAGCTTGTCCTTGCATGACAGTGAGTTGTGAATTTGTTTAGTCCTCAGGAAGGTTGCCATGGCACTTCTGGCATTCTAAAAACATCACAATATAAGCTATCAAAGTCTAGGAGGAAAAAACTCATGGGGGAACTTCCTGAAGGAGGGTCAACCTAAATAAGCATGAAATGTATCCTTGCATTTCATCTCCATGCTTTTTTTAAAAAAAAATGCAACCTCAGCAAGTGGTAGCTGGGTTGAGAAGTTAAGCAAGCAGTACCTGAATCAGCAAAGGGAATCCCAGGGCTATAGACTAGACCAGGGTTTCTCAATCTCAGCAACTTTAACAGGTGTGGACTTCAGCTCCCAGAATCCTTCCCTGCCCCCCACCATGCTGGCTGGAGAATTCTGGGAGTCGAAGTCCACACATCTTAAAGTTGCTGAGGCTGAGAAACACTGGACTAAACTATAGTGCATCCTGCAAGAAAACATTGGCAAACCACTTCCATATTGCTCCTAAGAAAACTATATAGAAGTGTCCATAAAGTCACCAGTAGTGAAACTTATTTGAAGAGGACTTTACCTTCTTAAAAGACAAGCAGCAGCTGTTGACAGATGTGTGTGATGATTATTAGAACTGGAGCAGGCAAGAAGGGATAATTCAACCTTCTCATCAATGCCAAGGTACAAAGGCACAGCTAATGTCTGATTTGCCCTCAAGACTCATTTTGGTTTGCCTAAGTTTGTATTCCTAGGTGTGGTGAAATGATTTATATAGTCAGAAGTAGCATAATTTCTTCTTGGTTTATTTTGGGGGTAATTATATTTTAGAAACTTGCTGCCATCACCCCAACATGATAACATTCTTCTGTTGATGGTATCACTTCTCTAATTCATTCTTTTTTTCTGGTAATGTGGTATCTTAGGCAGGGGTGGTATTACATTCTGTCTCTCATTTACTGAGAAGACCAGATGATTATGAAAAATTAAAACTTTATTTAACAATAATATCCTGTGAACACATAGTATAGGATATTAAGTTGTTTCTGTTCAGAATTACATCAGCCAAAACTTCCTGTATACTTAATTATAGAATGATTGTCATATTTCTATAAGTTCTGGATAAGTTTTGAATTACATTAAGCTTTGAACTATTTCATTATGTGCCATCAAGAGTCTTAGTGACTATATAGATTTTCTTCAGGACAGCTTGCTCCTTTGGGTTTTCAGTGGTGCACTCATCAATTATAACAGCGATGGGTGCACTACTGGAAGACCTGAAGGACCAGGATGAGGACAGATCGCCCTGGAGAAACTCTATCTATGTGATTGCTAAGAGGTGACACCAACTTGATGGCACATAATCAATTTAAAATCAACCAAGCTTTGAATGCTCCTCCATCACTACCCAAATTATCTTGAGAGAATAAAATAAGCACAAGATTAGCAATACAACTTATTTCCTGCTCTTGGGATCATGTCGCAGAAATCTCTTAAGAGACAATTAGCAATCAGCAGGCAAGCTTTAGATCAGAAAAGCTTTCAAAAATGCCTCATTTATTCCCCCAGCATTTGTTGTGAGCATGTTTTTTAAATAAATAAAATATCATAGAATATAAAGTGGTAAGTACCATAATAGTTAATATTTTTGCCTTAAATTGTCTCAAAGGAGAAAGAGTAATGCTTTATAAAAATATTTTGCATAGTCAGATTAAAAAGCAAAATATAGAAATGTTAGAATTGAAATTCTAAGATGTAAGTTAATGTGTGTATCTTCATCTTCAGAATGTTGTATGGAGCATTCCCAACTTGATGTCCTCCAAGTAAGGTGGCTTTGAAATCCTAGAATCTTCCTGCCAATATGGTCATTTATTATAATCCTGGGAGGTCATGGAAGCATGGAGAGTACCTGGTTGAGGAAGAATGATCTAAGGCTAAGATTTACCCCATCTCCCCTGTCTCTGATCATCCTGTAGAATTCTTTGAAGAATGTATCCGGAATGCTGAATTAGAAGCCAAGATGCCAGTAATTATGAAAAATGCTGTGTACCTTCACAAGGCTGCCACTCGCAGGATAAAAAGCTGTCGATTTCATCGTAGGAGATACAGCAATTCGTGGAATAATTGTAGGTACTACTTGTCCCTGTTCTTTTATAATTTATGGATAATTTGAGGTTTGGGACAGGACTATCTTGCAATTAAGTACAAAACTGTAGCCATTTTGGTGCAAAAACTGAGATCAGCTTTGACTCCTCTTTCCCATAGTGATAATCTTGAAGTGGTAATAAGGCACTCATTGATTGACAAGATTCTCCACATTAATGAAAGTTCTAAATCTACTACTGTAGTTTACTGGCTTAATATGAAGCTGATCTCTGGGGGCAAAATCAATCCCATATTGAATATGCTGGTGATGTCCACATATTGGGGAATCTATGTGTCTTTATGGATGGGTCAATTGGCCATTGTCCTTTTGTCTTAGCTCTGAACTTTGTCAGCCTCCCCCAGTCTGCTGCCCATGCTACAACTTGCATGGTTGCTAGAAATTCTGAGTTATAATCCAACACATCTGGAGGATATCTAATTGGGAAAGGCTCACTGTGATGCCTCAGTTATTTGTATTAAACAGTACCTTTGTTGACCATCTTTTTTCCTCATAGGTTGGAACTTCAATAGTGCTTACTTGAATGCCCTGATAACCCTAATTTGACCTCCTGTTCCCACAACACTGGCCTTTTCTTATTCCCAGGCCTGATTTACACAGACCTATCCCACTGTTTTCCATAATGCAAAATGTCCACCAACCACAAAACATAAATAAGAGGAAAGACCAGGGTATCTTTATGCTATAAGTCTTTCTTTTGCCACTGTAAGGATTACAAATGAGGAAAGTTTCCTAGTGTGGTATACCATTCTTATTTTCAGTGCGGCAATCACAGTCATTCATGTACTCAGAAGCAGAAAACATAGAGGAGCTGAAGCAAGCTGCCAAGAGGCTAACCCAGGACCATCACTTCCGGGAAACGATCTATCAAATCATGGTGTCACATCAGGATTCCTCCTCAGACAACAAAAAGTGAATTTTTGCCCACCCTATTGTCAGGGAAGTTCTAGACTCAGCTTGTCATTTCACCCAGCAAAAGCCAAATTGATTTGTCTAGAGGCAGAAGTAAGATAGCAGTGGCAATTTCAAGAGGTAGTGAATGGAACACTTTTCACTGTAGAGCAGTGTGGTTGGAACATTATTCTTAATCAGAGGTTTCCGTATAGCTTGCTGTAATTGTTTGGCTGCCCATTCCTGTCATATTAACTCACTCCATTTTTCTCTCAATGTTATCAAGATCCATGGTTTAGAAAATGTCCAGCCAGTCTTTTCATACCAGGGAGAAATACATATACAAAATAGGTACATTAAGTGATAAGCCCAAGGAGTAAATCATCTTTAAAGGGAAAGATACTACAACTTGCTTTTTTTATATTTCTGATTGGAGGCTAATGAAGGCTAAAATTCTCTTTGCTTTATCTGCAGACAGTTCTCCAAATACTCAGATAGCCAATTACTGGACAGTGTTCTGTATTCACTCTAGTTTGGTGGCAAAAGACATCATGCTTCTAATATCTTATGTTATGCTCCCCATTTCTCTGTGTTGAAGGAAGTTTCTAGGGCAGCCAACTTGTCTGAAGAGAATTAATGACCTAACTGTCCCTTTATGGTATCTATTGGCAAATATAATGTCTATCATAAGTAGAGAATACCCCATGTCTGCTTTTGGGGACTTCTCCTCAAATGGCATCTGCTACAATCTGGCAGCTGCCAACTCCAGGAAATCAGCTTCATTTCTGATCCTTCCTCTCATATGGAGAGAACATGTCCACTTCTGGGTTGCTTAGATGCTTGTGGGCTTTTTCTGTAGAAAAGAACCCCCTGCCCCTCAAACACATTTCACAGCATAGCCTAGAGGTTTCTTGGAAGGTTGAGCAGCAAGAGCAATGTCAGTGAAAGGTGTGGTAGAGTAACGGAGCATCTGAGGTGATCTGACCTAAGAATGGAGGGTAGAGTGGAAAACAGAGCAGGACAGGACAGAAGCAGGTTAATAATATTCCTGTATCCACACAGCTAGTTGGACTACTTCCAGATTAAAATAATATATATCTACTGATCTGTTGACAGACATTTGAAAAAAATCAGGGCTGTCCTGATTAAACAGGGAACAATTTCTGCTAGTATCCCAGCTTCTTTTGTAAATAACAGCTCCTGATAGTTATTGTTTAAAAAAATGATCGGGGCCTGACTAGGATCAGAATCATCATGGTGAGATGAAGAAGCAGCTTAGTTCCCCCCACCCCGACTCCCAAACTCTTTTTTTTTTTTTTTTTGTATCTAAGTCACAGATACTGTGTATCTGGGAGGGCTGAAAAGAAAAAAAACCATAAAAAGAAGGTGCATAGAGGAGTTCCAATTTTGCAAGGCTGCCCTAGGTTTCTATCTCAGTATCCCTCTCTTGGCAGGTGCCAAAATGGAAATTAATCTTAAATTAATATTTTACTGTATCTTCTTTCAGGGTCAGATGTCACAAGGAGCTCTGGTTAAGATGAAGTATCCATTGGGTACTTTAGAATGTTTAAAATATTATCCCAAGCTGGGAACATCCAGATTATGAGATCTTCAACTGATCTGTTTAAGTGTATTGGGCAAACCAAGCCTACATGACATTTTAGCGCTATTTAAAATAATAGTATAACCTTGTAGCTTTCCCAGGACAGCTTCTTGGAAACTAGTGGTACACCTGTTTTATTTCATGCATAAAACCAGGCTGCTGCTCCTTGTGAGCCTTTCCTTCAATGCACACAAACAGCCAACTACTGAACTCAGATCACACACTGGCTGTTAAATTGATCTGCAGATCACAATGTGTTGAAGTTGCCACTAAGCATACGTTATATTAGCCTAAAGCAGTGTTGTCCAAACTTGGCCACTTTAAGATGAGTGGACTTCAACTCCC